GGAAGGAAGGAAGGAAGGAAGGAAGGAAGGAAGGAAGAAAGGAAGGAATATAGAGAGAAGCTTCATTCATTAAAACAAACACAAACACATAAGATTTTTACTTATTTTGTTTAATTCTGGCCTTTTTGTAGCCCGGATGGCTTCAAATTTGCAATCCTTCTACAATCCTTAGTACTAGGATAATTTTCCTAATTGTAGAATTATAGGCATGTGCCACTACACTTGGCTATTTTTCAACAAAGTAATTTCTGGGCTGGAAATGTGACTTAGTGAGCATATATGAAGCCCTAGACTCAATTCCTCAGTACTACATAAACAGAAAAAGCCAGAAGTGGCACTATGGCTCAAGTGGTAGAGTGCTAGCCTTGAACAAAAGAAGCTCAGGGACAGTGAGTCCAAGCGCCAGAACAATAATAATAATAATAAGTTCTATCATATACATTGACAATATTTAGAAGTTTTTCATTTTCAACCACTTGGGAGAAACACAATATAAAATTGTAATGTGACGCCTCGTGCTAAGGACTCACGCCTGTAATCTGAGCTACTCAAGAGGCTGAAATCAGGCAAATGGTAGTTTGAGGTAAGTCCTTCTTGGTTTTAGTTCTCTTTGGGATAAATTTTTTTTTGCCTGGGACTGGCTTTGAACCATGATCCTCTTACCTATAATTCCTATGCCTCCCTTATAGCTAATAGGTTTTCCACCTCTGGAGAAGCTAGGATTATGTGTGTATACAATCACAGCCAGCCAAAAATGATTTATTGTAATGTTATATTTTCTTATATAAAATATTCATGTTCAAAGATCTACATACCTGAATATTGTCCTTGCTCCAAGTATGTGGTGTTTTATTGGCAAGTAATTTCAAATCTTGAATAGCAAGTCTCTTTACTGCTTTCCTGGGATCATTTTTCAAATATTGCAGCAAAAGCTGAATCTATAAAGGAAGTTATATCACTCCATAATAATACTGCCATAAATAATACTGCCACTAAGATTATTATGATGCACAATGAAATTGTCTCATTTGTACAACTGATATATGCTAAGAAAAAAAAATCTGGAATTATCATTAGGGATGAAGTACTGTTTAGTAAAACCTATAGTTGACAAAGAACTCCCTTCAAATCAAAGCTGTCTTTTTGTCATATTAGTGGTATAGCCAGGTTTGGGCCTCTTTCTTCTTGTGTTAAAAATACTACCATTTATGTAAGGTTCTAACATAGTGACTATCATTTAAGACACATTCCTTTATTGCCAAACTATACATCCTATCACATATTCCCCAACACCTCATTTTTCTCCAGGGCTTCCAAGAATCAGTAATATGAATTTAAAAAAGAAAAAAAAATCAACTAATCTTTTTTTTTCTTTTTAAATGAGTCACAGGGCTTGAACTCAGGGCCTGTACACTGTCCCTGAGCTCTTTTGTTCAGGGCTAGTGCTCTACCACTCAAAGCCACAGTGCCACTTCCAGTTTTCTGGTGGTTAATTGGAGATAAGAGTCTCATGGACTTTCCTGCCTGGGCTCGCTTCAAACTGTGATCCTCAGATCTCCACTTTCTAAGCAGGTAGGATTATAAGCATGAGCCACCAGCACCTGGCTCAACTGATCTTTATTAGAAAAAGGAACCTTAAGGCCACAAAATACATGAGCTACTTCCTCATTTTTATCATATGTATTTGCAAGTTTACTGAAGTTTAATAAGCAGGCCAAAGAAAATTGGGGTTACCTGCTTAGGTGTATCAACCAAAGATGAAGCTGCAAGCAGAGTAAAAGTGTGCAAAGAAACAATCACCATTTTGGTGGAAGGATAGGAAGTGACTAGTTGTTGTAAAAGCTGACGCGCACTGGAAGCCAAGATAGCATCATGGTGCATGTGCTGTAGGATGGGGATCAACTTCAACTTCAAGTCTACTGGTGTAGCTAAACCTAGATACAAAAAGAATTGTCAGAGGTCTGATTATCATTCTTAACAATGGTACAGATTTAGCAAAATGTCCACTTAAAAATAAACTGCATAATACCTTGTTTATATCATTAAAGATAATTATGCTATAGCTAATCAATAAGTTTAAGTCCCCACCCCAAAGTATTATCTTAATTCGTTAATAATTATAAAACTACGTGTTGGCCAAGCACCTATAGTTCACACCTGGAATCCTAGCTACTATGGAGGCAGAGATCAAGAGGATCACAGTTCGAGGTCAGCTCAGGCAAGACTTCAAGATATTTTAAACTGGTAGCTACATAGAGTGGTACATGCTTGTCATCCTAGCTACTAGGCTGCGATTGGGAGTATTGGAATTCTAGGCCAGTCTTGGTTTAAAAAAAAAAAAAAATTCTGTTGCAACTCCATCTCAAGAGGAAAAGACTACATATGGGTAACACATTAACAGCTGTGGCTGAAAGTAAAAATAGGATGATTGTGATCTAGGCCAGCCTAGGGAAAAGCGTGAGACTATCTCAAAAATAAGCAGAGCAAAAAAGGCTGGAAGCCTGGCCCAAGCAGTAGCGTACCTATCTAGCAAGCGTGAAGTCTTGAGTTCAAACTCCAGTACCTCCCCCCACAAACACACACTCAATCCCCCCCAAAAAACAAAGCAAAAAAACCCCAGTATATATTGACAGTAGACATTACCCCCCAAAAAGGCACAGCAGAAAGTGGCCATATTTGCTTCCTATTTCTTATCACATTAAAAACATTAGAAACACATACAAATGTATTAACATTTAACACTCAGTGGCTACAATTTGATTAAATTAACAATATTAACTATTCTTAACAACTTAATAAAGATCAGACAGTGTGAACAGCTTTGAAGTCCTCTGAGTTTTGTGTAGAAATGTCTTTCCTTGATTAAATAATACAGCTAGAAAACCACAAAGTCTAACATCAATGTATCGTTTCCTGTCAACATTGGAGCTAAACAGACTTTTCTTCCATAACATAACTTTGTGGGGATAGAGAACAAAAATTTGTCAACTGTAATATACTACAAACGATGCCAAAGCTAATTTATACTCTGCAGATCATTGGTTTTCCCACTGTGAAATAACTAGTTATGAACATAAGATAGCATTTAATAAATAATGTTGGTTTGATTTAACAAGCTCTCCCTTATGATCTAGGTTTGGCCTCACCAGAGAGCTCCAACCAGAAATAGAAGAACGAAATCAGAGTGTTTATTCCCTGGTTTCTTCCCTGCAGGGTCACATGATGCTCATGTGATATTATTCTGATAGTTAGGACACATTTCACATGCTGACGATTCTCCCCTTGTCTTCTGCTTTTCACTCTTTTCCAGGTTTCTCCTTCTTTCTCTGGCTCTTCCTTCTGAATCTCTTGCACAATCTCGTCTTATACATATTTGATTTTTGGCATTCCCTTAAACAGGCAATAAATTCTCTTCTCATTCTTTGTACCTTTTTTGAGATGATATAATCCCTTGGTATCCATTATAAACTAAACTATTAACTATTAACTAAATACTAAAGATACATCCCTCCTCTCCGACCATAACTTCAGACACATATATAACCCATGATCTACTGGTTATCTCTACTGGGGTGTCTTAGAAGCATTTTATACTTAATAAAGAGAACTTCTGTTCTTACGCCAAAAGTGCATCTTTAAAATTTTCTCATCTCAGTAATTATAGCTCCTCAGACTTGAGTCTATTTTCACATCTTATGATCCAGTTTCTAAATTTATAGTAGATCTTATGGTTATATCTTTAAAATATAACCCAAATCTGACTATGTTATCAAGTTGATCCATTTTTACTACCATCTCTTCTCTGAAATTGTTCTAAGAGTCTCCTAAGTATTATCCTTACTCTAGGCCTTTCTCATGGCAGAGTGTGGCATGTTTCTCCATGAGATGTTATCTAATATAGCAGACACTCAACAAAAAACTGCTCAATTAAGCTGGTCACTGGTGGCTCATGCATGCCTATAGTCCTAGCTATGCAGAAGACTGAGATATGAGCATTGCAGTTCAAAGCCAGCTCTGGCAAAAATGTCTGTGACTCTTACCTCCAATTAACTAATAAAAAAGCCAGAAGTGGAGCTCGAGTGTTAAGAGTGCTAGCCTGTGCCCAAGCCCTGAATTCAAGCCCCAGTACGGGTACAAAACAAAACAACTTCTCAATGAATGAATGATGCTTCCTTCTTTTATGATGAAGGTAACAACCCTTTCTACAAGAATGCATTTCTGGCAGAAGAACAGCACACAAATGAATAAAAGAGAACAAGATTAAGGCTCAATCACAGTATCTTACTCTTTAATTAAGTGATACTTCTATTACTTGTGCAATGTAAGCAAGTTCTCTTCAACTGAAAGAGTTTAATGCAGGTAAAATATAACTTACCCTCCTAAAGGAATTCCTATGTCAGGAAGGTACAATAGTGCAGTGATTAAAAGTATGCTAAGTAGTGTGACTTTGAACATATTACTGGACATTTTACAGCACTTCCTGTGCTGTAAAATGGGTACCTATCCAAGGCAGCCACATCACATAATTGGAAAGAATGCCATTTGTAAGAATACAAAAAAAACAGTGTTCTTTAGAGTTGTGCAATGCTGTAGACCAGAACTTGCCTATAATGAATATTATGAAGACATATGGGGTCAAAACAAAAGGGATTTAGAAAGTGAAATTAGAAAAACAGGGCCATATAGCCTATTTGGTAAGGGATTTGGATCTGGTTCCAGTTTCATCTGGAAAACACTAGAGAGACATTAGCAGAGAGTCCAGAGCTCCTAAGTAACACTATTTTCTACCAAATCAGAATATTTTCCTATCCATCTTCATGTCTCACTCCTTCCCTCTTTCATGTCTCACTGTATCAGAGGGTTTCACTGACAAACTCATGTAAAATACAAAAATCTCCCTTCTTTCCCTGCACTGACTACTGGAACTTTCTATCCTTCCTATCTCCCTTTTTCTCCATAGTGTTTGCTATGTCATCTCTATATTTGTCTATTATCCATTACTTCTCTCAACTAGAATGAATGTTGGTTACATGATGGTAAGGTCTCAATTCTGTATCTTAAGTACCTAGAACAGTTCTAACATATAGAAGATGTTTAGTATTAGTTGAAGGAATAATAACTCACTATGTTAAGTACTTAACAAGTGTATTATTAATATAAATCCCATGAAGTCGCTTCATATTAATAAATGAAGCATACATACCTTGAATCATTTCACTGATTTTGTTACAGATTCCAACAGCAAAATCCCTTTGGAAAAAAAGAATAGAAAAATTGAAACCAGAAAATTAAAGTTGCTGAATTTTTCTAAGAATTTGGTATAGAACACAATTAGCACAGGGGAAATACAATATTCTAAATCATAATGAATATGCCCGACAAGTGACAGAAACACATGACAGGAAAAACCAAAAAGCACACAACCCTCCAACCACCACATAGACTCATGTGAACGCCTCTATAATATGATTTTTGAAGAAAGGTTCCCTGATTTGTGAATGTTGTTGAAATTGTATCTTAGTGATACTGTCTGGAAGAATCAAGGTCACTATTGTAGAATACACTTTAAGATATACATTTATTTATATGAAAAGCTTTGAACACAGAGTTTTGAGTACATAAGCAATAAAACCAACTCCTAACATCATGCATTTTAGAAAAAGACTAGGTTTGAAATGGTAGAAATACAGTTGGATATACAGACAGATCTTTTTTTTTTTTTTTGTCAGTCGTGGGGCTTGAACTTGGCCTGGGTGCTGTCCCTCAGCTCTTCAGCTCAAGGCGAGCACTCTACTGCTTGAGCCACAGTGCCACTTCCGGTTTTTATAGTGGTTTATTGGAGATAAGAGTCTCACGGACTTTCCTGCTCTGTCTGGCTTTAAAATGTGATCCTCAGATCTCAGCCTCTTGAGTAGCTAGGATTACAGGCATGAGCCACAGGCGCCCGGCTAGATAAAATCTTTTTAAAAGCCAAACCATTTAAAGTTAGCAATCTTAAATATTAGATATGTGTATTTTCATATTTTGCTAACACATTATAGATTCTTTGTAAAATTATAGATTCTTTGTATTTTTAAAATTCAACTAATTAAATATCTAATATAGTACATATAATCCACATAAACACAGGACAACAGGAAAGTTGCCAAGAGTTTATAAAAGCAGGCCAGACATGATGGAGCCTATAATCCTAGCACTCAGGAGAAGAACAGGAAGAACTCAAGTTGGAGGCTAGTATAGGCTACATAGAGAATTTTAGGTCAATCTGGTTACACAGCAAGACCCTCTCTCAAAACAAAAACAAAAACTAGTATAAAGGGTGCTTTTAAAAGAAATGAGTCTCACATTACAAAATAGTAAAAATATCATGAAGGTATAAGGCAAGTGGCTTGTATTAGGTACATATAGAGAACTATTTCCTATCTCAGAGAGCTCTTGTACCTGTTATTACTTCTGCTTGACTCATTCAGCTTTTTTTTTTTTTGGGGGGGGGGTCCAGTTGTGGGCCTGAACTCTGGGCCTGGGCGCTGTCCCTCAGCTCTTCAGCTCAAGGCTAGCGCTCTACCACTTGAGCCACAGCGCCACTTCTCGATTTTTTTTTCTTTTTGCTTATTTGGTGCTGAGGAATCGAACCCAGGGCCTCATGCATGCAAGGCAAGCGCTCTACCACTGAGCCACCTTCCCAGCCTCTCATTCAGCTTTCTAAATGAGGGGCATTATTCATTCACTCAGTTTTGGAAAAAATGTTATTCAGAGAAAACTTCCCTAACAACCTCAGCTAAAACAGTGCACTGAGGCCATTCGAACTGCATCATTTTCTTTTGTCTTAATACTAACATTTGAAATTATTGTGTGTTAATTGGACCTGATCTTTGTGTATGTGTGTGTGCCAGTCTTGGAGCTTGAACTCAGGGCTGGGGTACTGTCTCTGAGCTTTTGTGCTTAAGGTTAGCACTTTACCACTTGAGCAACAGCTCCACTTTCAACTTTTTGGTAGCTAATTGGAGATAGGAGTCTCATCAACTTTCCTATCTGGGCTGGCTTTGAACTGCGATTCTCATCTTAGCCTTCTGAGTAGCTGGATTATAGGTTTGAGCCACTGCACTTGCCTAGGACCTGATCTTTATTACTCTGTATATTTGGTTCTTTGAACAGTACCTAGACATGATGTATCATGTATCAAAAAAAATGTATCAAAAATTTTTGTAATAACTCAGAGTTTAAAGATCTAATACAAGTATTTAGGGCCAATAAACTAAAAATTAGAATCCTGTTATTTTTGACTAGTAATAAATTCTTAATCTTAAACATTTAATCTCGATGAGACTAGACAAAATAATATTCCAGTTGTACCTTCCTACACTCCAGCCCCTGACCCAAATATGATTTGATAGCATTGGGCTGACATTCCTGCATTCTGGCTTGTGCCACAGAGCTGCCGACACTTTCTGAAGGAGATAGCTCAGTTCACCAGTCACCACTAGATGGCACCACTCTCACTAACAATGCCTGCTTGGTATCCCTTAAGGCATCTGGGGCTTGCCACTCCTGTTTTGTAACCCAAGGACTAGCGCTTTAAAAGCATAAAATCTTAACTTATTAAAATAGTAAGTTAGGACAATAAATTAGGTATGGTTATGGTAGTATAGAAAGAGAGAACAGAATGAGATAAATTCTTTATGTTCTATTTGGCTAGTCTGATCTAAAATCTAAAACAAAAAAAACAAAAAAACCCCACTAAGACAGGGACTAGAAATGTGGCTTAGTGGTAGACTGCTTGCCCAGCATGCATGAAGCCCTGGTTTCGATTCCTCAGCACCACATAAACAAAAAATAAATGAAAGGGAAAAAAATACTAAGACAAAAATGCACCAGTATTGGTTAGACGAAGTAAGTAAACCTTGGTCTCAAAATCAAACACTTCATTAATCTTACTTCAATATATTTTTTTAATTTATTTATTTATTTTTTATTTGTGAACATACTGTACAGAGGGGTTACAATTACATGGGCAGGATAATGCGTACATTTCTTACCAAGCATTGCAGCCTCCTCCTTTGGTTTACCCTTCACATCCCTTACAAGCCTCCCCCCTCCCCCCCAATCCCAACCCTTCTCCTCCCCCCCCTTCCCCTACTTCAATATATTTACATAAGCCCTTCAGGCTTTCTTTTGAACTACAGTAATTCAGTACTTTTTAATATCACAAATATAAGTGCATCATATTGAAGCATGGAATATAAAAACACTTTCTACATAAATGTTAATATATTTACTGGTCATGAGTTCCATAAGCCAAGTTCTATGTTAAGTCTTAAATCATCTTCCAACACAAATCAGAAATAAAACAATTTCTTGATAGCACAAGAGAAAAAGCAAACTAAAAAATTTTCATATATAATCATTAATAGAGTGCTAGTCTTGAGCAAAAGAACTTAGGGACAGAGCCTAGACCCTGAGTTCAAGATCCAAGACACACAGACACACACAGGCGCGCGCACACACACACACACACACACACACAGTTTAACCACTAAGCTATAAATGCCAGGTGCTAGTACACACACACACACACACACACACACACACACACACAGTTTAACCACTAAGCTATAAATGCCAGGTGCCAGTA